AAACATAATATCACATCTCACATGTTTCGCTCGATTTTAACGTGCAGCTATTTTTTTGGTTAACTAAGAATTAATTATTTAATTGCAAATTGAACAATCGGATAATTGAAAAATCGAAACATCGAAAAATTGGAAAATCGAAAATTTAAAAATTCCGAAAATTGAAAAATTGAAATATAAAAGAACTGAAAACTCGAGAAATCGAAAAACCTAAAATTTTAAAAGTTGAAAAAAATTGAAATCGAAATATAAAACAGTCGAAAAATTGAAAATCCAAAAAGTAAAACGTCGAGAAATCGAAAAATCCAGAAATCGAAAAGTCGAAATACTAAAAAATTCCAAAACTGAAATATCGAAAAACTGAAAAATTGAAGAAAAATTGAAGAATTGAAAAACTGAAAAATCACAAAATTGAACGAAATATCCAAAAATTGGGAAATTAAAAATTTGAAAAATTGGAAAATTGAAGCAAGGTCGAAAAAGCGCAAACCTAAAAAAACAAAAAATTGAAAAATCAAAAACCTGAAAAATCGAAACTTTGAGAAGTCGAGAAATGAGAAAATCAAAAAATAGATTAATTGAGAAACCGGAAAATTAAAAATTCAGAAACATCAAAATTTGAAAAATTAAAAAATATTGTAGAACTGAAAAACCGACACATCTAAAAATCTAAAATATAAAAATCGAAAAACTAAAAAATTATCAAATCGAGAAATTGAAACTCGAAAATTTAGAAAATTTGAAAATTGAAAAATCGTATAATTCAAAAATCGACACACTGAAAAATCGAAAACCCGAAAAGTAAAAAATCGAAACACTGATGAGAAATCGAGGAGTCGAAAAGTCGAAAAATCGAAAAACTGAGAAATCGAAATACGCCAAAATCGAAAAATCGAAAAGTTACAAATGGAAAAATTGATAAATCGAGAGATTGAACAATCAAAACATCGAAACGTTCGAATTTCGATAAACTGAGATCTCAAAAAATTGAAAAATCGAAAATTTAAAAATTCGAGAAATTGAAAAATTAAAATATCGAGAAGTTGAAAAATTAAGAAATCGAAATATAAAACAGTCGAAAAATGGAAAATTGAAAATGTGAAAAGTAAAAAGTCTAGAAATCGAAAAATCCAGAGCTCGAAAATCGAAAATTCGAAATACTAAAACAATCTCAAAACTGAACTACCGAAAAATTGAAAAAATTGAAAAAAAATTAAATAATCGAAAAACTGAAAAATCACAAAATTGAACGAAATATTCAAAACTTGGGAATTTAAAAACTTGTTAAATTGGGAAATCGAAAAGTCTAAAAAGCAAAGTCGAAAAATCAAAAACCTGAAAAATCGTAAAATTGAAGAACTGAAGAATCGAAACTTTGGGAAGTCGAGAAATGGGAAAATCAAAAAATAGATTAATTGAGAAATCGGAAAACTGAAAATTAAAAAAAAAATTTTAAAATTAAAAAATATTTAAGAACTGAAAAATCGACAAAATCTAAAAATCTAAAATTTAAAATACTGAAAAATTAAAATATCGTAAAACTGAAAAATTGAGAAATCAAAATAAAAAACAGTCGAAAAATTGAAAAATCTAAAGTTTAAAAAACGAAAAACTGAATACACCAAGAAGTCGAAAAATCGTAAAGTCAAAGAATCAAAATACTGGAAAATCCCAAAACTCAAAAAAATATCCAAAAATTGAGAAACTAAAAAATTGGAAAATTGAAAAATTGAAAAACCAAAAAAGTAAATTCGAAAAATCGAAGAATTGGAAAAGTTTTTTCAGAATGGGAAAATCAAAAATATATTAATCGAGAAATCGGAAAACTGAAAATTTAGCAACGTCAAAATTTGAAAAATTGAAAAATAGAAATACTGAAGAACTGAAAAATAAAAAAATCGAAAAATCTAAACATTCAGAAATTAAAATATCGCGAAATTGAAAAATCGAGAAATCGGAACATAAAAAAATAATTGAAAAATTGAAACATCGAAAGTATAAAACAGTCGAAAAATCAAAAAATCTAAAGTTTAATGAGAAATTGAAAATCCAAAAAGTAAAAAATCTAGGAGTTCAAAAATCGAAATATTGAAAAATCCCAAAACTGAAAGAAACACTCAAAAAATTGAGAAATTAAAAAATTGGAAAAGTGAGAAATGAAAAAACTAAAAGAGCCAAGTCGAAAAATCGTAAGCTTAAAAAATCAAAAAATTGAAAAATCAAAAAGATTAATCGATAAATCGGAAAACTTGAAAGTTTAGCAACGTCAAAATCTGAAAAATTGAAAAATAGAAGTACTGAAAAACTGAAAAATCAAAAAATCGAGAAATCTAAAAATCTAAAAATTTAGAACATTGAGCAATTAAAAAATTGCAAAATCGAGAAATCCAACACCAAAAAATCAAAAAATAAAAATTAGTAAATCTAAAATTTACATAAAAATTGAAAAACTGAAAAACCGACAAATCGAGAAATCGACACTGGAGAATTTAAAAAATTGAAAAATCGGACAACTGAAAAATCGAAACATCGAGAAATTGGGAAATTGAAAAATTTGGAAATCGAAAAATTGAAAACCCCAAAAGTAAAAAATCGAAAAACCGTGAAATACAAAAATCGAAACATCGAAAAATTCAAAAACTGAGACATCGAAAAATCAGAGGATCGAGAAATTGAGGAGTGGAAAGCCGAGAAGAAAAGTTAAAAATTGAAAAATTGATAAATCGAGAAATTGAAAAATCAAAAGTATCGAAACATCTGAATTCAAATAAATCGAGAAATCAAAAAATTGAAAAATCGAAATACATATTTTAAAAAAGAAAAATTGGAAAAATCGAAAATTCAAAAAATTGGGAAAATTGAAAAATTGAATCAGAACTGAAAGCTCAAGAAATCGAAAAACCTAGAATTTTAAAAATTGAAAAATGAAAACATTGAAAAGTTGAGAAATTGAGAAATCGAAGTATAAAACAGTCGAAAAATTGAAAAATCTAAAGTTTAACGAAAAATTGAAAATCCAAAAAGTCAAAAATTCACGAGTCGAAAAATCGAAATATTGAAAAATCCCAAAACTGAAAGAAATATCCAAAAAATTGAGAAATTAAAAAATTGGAAAATTGAGAAATCGAAAAACCAAAAAAGCAAAGTCGAAAAATCGAAGAATTGAAGAAAGTTTTTTCAGAATAGGAAAATCAAAATTTGAAAAATTGAAAACTGGAAATACTAAAGAATTGAAAAATCAAGAAATCGAGAAATCGAAAAATCTAAAATATAAAACATTGAGCAATTAAAATATCGCAAAATTGAAAAACCGAGAAATCCAAACATCAAAAAATAATAATTGAAAAATTAAAACATCGAAAGTATAAAATAGTCGAAGAATCGAAAAATCGACAGTTTAACGAAAAATTGAAAATCCAAAAAGTAAAAAATTCTGGAGTTCAAAAATCGAAATATTGAAAAATCCCAAAACTGAAAGAAACATCAAAAAAATTGAGAAATTAAAAAAATAGAAACTTTGGGAAGTGGAGAAATGGGAAAAAAGATTTTTATTTAGAAACGTCAAAATTTGAAAAATTGAAAAATCGAAATATTTAAAAATCGTAAAATTGAAGAGGACAAAAATTGGGAAATATGTAGTATCTGTGAAACATCGGAAAATTGAGAAATCGAAAAATAAAAAATCTAGAAAAGAAAAATTTGAAGAGTGGAAGTCCAAAATTGTAAGATGATCAATTTCTGGGGGCATTAACGGATAAATTTTGACTAACGATTTAACATGCTTTCAATAACTATAAATTGACGTCTAAGGTAAAATCTCAACACGGATTCTTAAACCATAAACGGATGATATAAAATTTAAATTACATCTGCTATTGTAAAATTTGGAGATTACGTCATTTCATTGTTGGTGACAAATTTTTGTGAGCGTTTTGCCAGTTGATAATACAATTTGAAATGTAAATTTTGTCATTCGAGAACATTATTCACGAAAGTCGGCTTATAGATAAATCGCTTAGGGTCGATATTTGCTTGATTGTCCTCTGGGCTGTAAATCAAACAAGTCCTCAGTCATCAAATTGTTGATCAGAAACATTGTTGATTTCATCGTTGGATTCCTTGTACAAGTTAATACATATTAAAAGGATTTTTGTTACAGGCAAATATTGAATGAAAAACCACTTATCCATATCCCGTCATATGTCATGTTTATAATAACCGAATAAATTAGATCCATTTATAATAAATTAGAAAGCTTAACACGAAAGCAATAAAAGACAAACGAAGATATACATCAAAGTCTACAACAAAACAAGGATTAGGAATGTTATAAAGATAAGAACTAAACCATTAAACGTATCCAAATCAAAGATAAGCCAACAAATTATTTAATGTCAAGGTTTTTTTAAGATGAATGGAAGAAAGTTTTGTGATGGTATCGTATTGTTATCAAAATATCTCAGCTTGAAAGATGACTTCATAAATTTTATATTATATGAAGCCGGTGTATGCATAGTGATTCAGTAAGTCCTCCCTAAATTTGGAAATAGAATAATGTTGATTTTAAGATTAAATCAACACTTAAAGTTTTCTTGGAACGAACAACCCGTAAAAAATGTAATATATTAATAAAGCAAACATTCAGAAATAGTTAAATGAAAAGCAGGATTTAAATGATAAGGTCGAACGGATGGAAGCTCCGCGAAGACTCAAAATGTATACGTCTCGGCACCTAACCGTCGCGACCCAGAGCAAATTATCTGTACTTTCAACATCACATCTCTTGGAAAAAAAGACCGTTTGTGGACGTTGACCGTCGATGTCATTCCGTACGTTTCCTGAATATCGAATGTTCGTTCCGTGGTAAAAAAGCACGGTCATCAGCGGCAAATACGGACATATCGCTTCTCCTGTAATGCGGTAGAGCAAGTCCAGAGAGCCGATCGATACTCCGTCAATGATGTCAATACACCACGACATTTTAAATTACAACTACTCACCACGATGGGACCTTCCTCCCTGCCTGACGAACTGACGGTCGCTCCGAACCATTGCTCCGTCTTGTTGTCCATCAGGTCGTTGCGGGTATCGCGATTGTGACCTGGAACAAAGGAGCAGCGCTTAGGAAAAGTCCAAGGATTTATGGTGTAACTTCGGGAAACTTGGTAGCATACTGGTTTCTATGTTTTGTGCAAGAGATTAGGTTCGAGATGTGATAAACGATAGTTGAATTTGAAATGTGAATGAGATGCTCCTGGTAATTTGCAATGAAGAACGACTGTATTGTATAGTAGTTAAATTATACGAAGAGTAGTATTAGGTACTAGAAGGCGAAATAATAATAAATTGTAAAGGAGATGTATACAGATGACATATACTGCATCATAATGAGTTAGGTCCCGTGTGGGTTGCGCGCTTTGCTGGATTTATGCATATTCATATCTATTCTGTTGCATTTACAAGTAATTGAGTGTATTCGGCACTGTTCACGAATATTTTAAATCACTAAGTAAGAATGTTTAATTAAAAGACTTAAGTTGCGTTTCAAACTTAACTTTTCATCACACAGATTTATTTTGGTAAATATTACAGGATCAGTGTTGGAAAGAAGCGAAACTAAAATCAAGTCAAAGAAACTATCCAGTCTACTGAATTAATGCTTGAATTTAAATATTACAATCAATAAGATTTATTGTTCACCCGATATAACATGCCTATTGGAGAGATACAATTCGATAATCTCTTCATTTAGATAATTTAGAAAACAATGTGTTCTCAATTTCTCAGTAGTTGTTTGATTGTTTATACATCGAAAAAATTTAGCCATTTGAAGCCAAAAACTGACATTTGAAAAATATACAATTTTCGTAAAAATGTTTTCTAACGTGTTAAAGTGAATTTACCAAAAGATGATGCTCCAGTATTCAAGCTTGGATCTTACACGAGTGTAGAATGATAATTTGATACTTGACACACATGTTTGAAATCAGATGTATTTCTCACAATAAATCTTAATGTTTTCCGTGCAAGGCTAGTAATATTATCTATCTGCGGGACAAAGCTTAACTTAGATTGCAGTAAAACACTTACATCTCATCTAAGAACTCTTTAGATTATTTCAAAGACACGATCTGAAGATTTTCAAAATTTTTCACTTCTGTTCAGACTGTTTCAGATTCCTGTAGATTTTTGTAGGTTCTTTCAGATTTTGCTAGATTCTTCGAGGTTCTCTCACATTCTCTGAAGGAATCTGAGGGAATCTTGAAGAATCTCGAAAAATGCAGAAGAACTTGGAAGAATCTGAAAGCTGAAAAATTCATAGAGAGAATCTAAGAGAATGTGAGAAAATCATTATGTTTAAGGTCACTTATTTTTTTTTTGTTAATTTTCTAGTTGTTTTTTGTAAGAGTATATTTTTAGTTTATTTGGATTTTGTGATTGGGATCTCTTCCTGTTGAAATTAGTAACTATTATTATTATTATTATTATTAATACTGGGAGAATTCTAGAGAATCTTAGAGAATTTTGAAGAATTTCGAAGAAGAAAATCTAAAAAAAAAAACCGGTAGAATCAGGAAGGATCTGAAACGATCTGAATAGAACTGAAAAATTTGAAAGAATCTTGAAGATTCCTGGCGGTGTCTTTGAAAGAATTTTAGAAAATTTGAAACAATTCGGAAGCATCGAAAAGCATCCGGAATAATCCGAAACAATAAAAAAAAAACTAAAAAATCTGAAACAGAATCAGAAAGAAAATGAAAGAATCTGAAAGCATCTGAATGAACCTGGGAGAATTTGTGGGAATTTGAGAGAATCTTGAAGAATCCAGAATGCAAAAAATTTAAAAGAATTTGAAACAATCCGGAAGAATCGTAAAGCATCCGGAATAATGCGAACGAAGAAAAAAATTCCAAACAATCTGAAAGAAAGAATCAGAAAGAAAATGGAAAATTCTGAAGGAATTTGAAGGAATCTGGGAAAAACTGGGAGATTCGAAACGAATATGAAGGAATCTAAAGGAATATGAAAGAATCTGCGGGAATCTTAAAGAAATTGGGAAATTCGGAAAGAATTTGAAAGAATCTAAAGAAACCTGTGAGAATTTGAGAGAATCTCGAAGAACCTAGAAAAATCTAGAAGAATTTAGAAGTATCTGTAAGGTTCTCAAACGATCTTAATTGAACTGGAAAATTTGAAAGAATCTGAAAACAGCTGAAAGAATTTGGAAGAATCTGAGGGAATCCAAGAAAATTTGAGAGAATATGAAACTAAGAGTCGAAAAAAATTGGAAAGAATCAGAGGAGATCGGAAAGAATCTCAGGGAATCTAAACGTATCTACAGGGCTTTTATAAAAGATTCTAAGGGCGTAGTTGGCCATGGATTTCAAAAATTCCGCTTCGCTGAAATTATTGCCTCATTTCTCAGTTCTCACTTGTCATTAATGAAATTTGTAACCTGTCATTTAAAGTCATCCTTTTTATTGTTCTAACGTTTAATTCTCGTTAATCCGAGCTCAAAACAGTCGTTTTTAAAACTCTTGGTTTTGTTTTTGTGCTAGGAAGCGAACACTGTGAAAATGGTTTATTCTGTTGAACAAGACATTTTCATTGTTATCGCAATGGGACTTCGAAAACGAAGAGTGAGTGTATTCTACAACCGCTTGTAAGCACGAATATCTGGCCAAATACCGTGATTTATTAAATCAAGAAACATCGTTAGAGGCTACATTAGAGATGTAATGGACAGATTTATTCGAACGGGCAGTGTCAATTAAGAGAAATCTCGTGGAAGACCGTCAGCATCTGAGGAAGTTGTTATTTAAGACGAAAAATTGAAAAATTTATAAATCGAAAAATTAAAGAACCAAAAAACTGAATAACCGTTAAACTCAAATATCAGAACATTGAGAAACCGAAAAATTAAAAAATCAAGAAATCGAAATTTTGAAAAATTGAACAACTGAAAATTGAAGAATCAACAAACTGAAAAATCCCAAAACTGAAATATCGAAAAATCGAGAAAACAAAAAATTAAAAAATCAAAAAATTGAGAAATTCGAAATTTATTATACAATTTAAACAACACTTACTATTAAAAAATCGAAAATGACGTCATTCCATTGCTGGTGAGGATAATCACACTAGTTTTGTTTAGTATAATAGTATCTACATACGTAAGAAAGAAAAATTAAAAAACGAAGGCCCTCCCACCCACCCCAATCTCAATTGTGACGAATTTTTCATTCGTTTTCACACCGACAGACGAAGCTTAATTGCAAAGTCAATATTTCCCTACAAAAATTTACCTTTTTAAAATTCATGGTTACAGATCTTGACGTGCTAATTCCAAAAATCTAGCGTGTTTAGAGTCACGGAGCAATATTTTTCAAATATTCGAAGTGAAATTCAAATTTTTTGAAATTTTTAAAAATTACGAGATTTCAGTGGGCGATTCTGGAAAAAAGATTGGAGTTATCAAAGAACTGACGCCGGAAGTGACTTCTGCGGCCCGAAATTTCCAAGAAAATGGATTTAGTTAAATTTCAAAATCGTCGAAAATGGACCGAAATTTGTGAAAACAGCCCTACAGATGTAGTTTATGACTTCACAGATGTTTTAAAGTTATGATAAGCATATTAAATTTTTAATCAAAACATATTTGCTTATCCTTTCCAAAAATTGATGACGTCAGCTTTATATTTTCTGAATAAATCCTATCTAAAATGTGAAAAATATGATGGGTCTGTACTTGTAATTTATCATTGCATTAATATTTTTTAATTTTCTTATACAGGATGATTAAAAAAATAATGAATCAGTCAATTTATTTTACTAAATAAATCATGAATTGCAAAACTGAATAATTTGAAATTTTGCAAACGTTTTAAAGTTATTGTATTAATGGTCAATTGTTAATCAAAATATATCTGTTTATTCCCCCCAAAAAATTGATGACATCATTTCAAAATTTTGCCGAATAAATTCCACCCAAAATGTGCAAAATGTGATGAGTTTTTACTCGTCATTTATCACTGCATTCAATTTTTTAGATTTGCTTAAACAGGTGGCTCAGAAAATTAATGAATGTGTCCTGATTAAATCAGGAACGGTTTACTCCATTTTCCCAGAAAATTTTGGGAATACAATGTAATGTTATTTTTCAATTTCCATTTTTCACTAAATAAAATCAGAGAAAGGAGGTCGGCGGAGCTAAATTTAGCTTTAGTCTAGTTTTATGGGCAAGCAGAAGTAGCGCCCACTCACCCCTTAGTCGTTCCAGTGATTACTGTTAACATTGTTCAGTCCTAGCTTATCAAATTTTATCCCCGCCCACCCACCCTATTTTTTCTTAGAAGATGTGTCATTTACCAAAATAAATCTTATTTTAACAAATACTAGCTATGCCGAAGTATGATCATACATGCGTAGATAAAAGCTTTAAAATTAAGATTAGAGTCTTGTATAACTCTAGTATTGGTGTGAGTTCTATTAGTAATTATAGGCTATAACAACAGTACTAAGTCATCAAAAATTCCAAAAGACTCATTTTTGTACAATAAAATACATTATATTTTGCCTTTTTGTTTTAATATGTGCAGACTTCTTTTCACAAAATGAAACTTAAAATAACTAAAATAGCTAATTTTACAATTAGTCTTCGCTCCATAATTGTAAAATCCATACTTCCTTGCAAAAATGTATCATTTTAAATTTCTTGTTGTGAAAAGATGGATATGTATATTAAGAAAAAAAAAGCCAAAATAGAAACCCCGCCCACCCGTCCTATCTCATTTCTGATGATTTTTTTTTATTCGTCGTAAGCCGAGGGGCGGAGCCTAATTGCAACATCCATATTTTCTCACAAAAATTTACCATTTTAAATGTGTTTTAATTTTCTAATATGTTGTCTTTTTTTCTTAATTTACGTTGTCTTCTTTGAACAATACGATACTCGAAAACATGTTTTTAATTTCTTGTAAAGAAATAAGTATTTTGCAGTTAAGCTCCGCCCTCTTGGTTCACGGCGAATAAAAAAAATCATCACAATCGAGATAGGGCGGGTGGGCGGGCTGACATTTTGTTTTTGTGTTTTAATATGTG